GTATATGTCAGCCTGACACGGAGGTTAACAGTGTCTTTCGAACCTTCTTGCTTGCCTTATTCCGGTTTTAAAATTACTGTTTTGAGAGTATTATTAACATCACTCTAACAATATTGTCATCAGTAATGATACTTCAACTGGTGCTCTAATTCGATTAGATTGATGAGCAATTTAACATGCTTTCAACACATTAAAACCAATTCGATCTTGCATTACAACGATGACTCATCTTTTAAACATTGTTTGTACAGTTAGTTATAGTTATCTGTGTTTAGTCAGACGAAGTGTTTATAGAACGTAGTCAGTCACATACATACCTACACTTCTCTGTTGATACGAAGAGGAGGGCGAGGCGCTGTGATGAGACGTCATTTGCTCGAAGCACTTTTGAGCTGCGTTCGACCACTTCATATACGCCGATTTTACGTATTTTTTAGACGTGCATGTCGCTCTAGATTTTATGCTCATGTCGATTTTTTTATGTTTCGGTCTTTCACAACACCATTAATTGACCCTGCCACAGCATTGACCCAGCTATATACCCCTTTGCTATACTATTCTCTCGACTTCTAAAATAATGTTTTTTTTAAATCGAAAACACTGTCTACGAATGTTCATAGGAAAAAATTGCTTTGAAAGGTCGAACTATCTTCACTGTGTATTTAGGCACCTCATGCGAAGAAAATAAGTTGACCAGCAACCCTTTGGGCTAGTTTTTTGGAATGAAATTTCATATAGGTTATTTCTAAATCTGGGGGCATTTTGTAAAGTGTGAGACGTTGGAAAATCCAGCATTCGAGAATCGCACATCATGGCACTTCAGGTGAAAAACAAATTGATTTAGCTGTTTTTGAATAATTTTTTCAGGCGAAACTTTGCATAAATTGTTTCTGAATCAAAAGGGATATATCTCTCTGAGTTACAATCATAGAAATTTTAAAACTCCAAAAAATTTGTCACCTTATTGTATATTTTCGGATATATTGTAAATGAAGAACCGTAATAGACAGACATCCAACGGTATATGTGCAACTTCAAAGTTGTGCACTACTCTCAGTCTAAGGGGGAGCTTAGAGGTACTTCACCTAAATATACGAGCAACTCTTTTTACGTGCCTGGCGTGTTTCGTTACCGGCGAAATGCACGGCTTTATAAGTTCGCTAACGCATATATATGCATATTTTTGCTGCGCATATATATATATATATATATGATTTCATAGTTATATATTTATATTTATCCAAATTTATTTGATTGATTAGGAATCAAGATAGGAAGCGATGTAGTGCAAATGTTCTATTGTGCGATTTTTGTGCATTGTACTTTTGTTCAAGTTGTGATTAATGATGATCAAAGGTTAACTGCTAATGACTCATCAATAATCGCACTTTGTGATATCACCAGTCGAATGTGAATCTAAATGGTGCTTTTATCGTTTCGTATCGCGTGCTCAAACTTTTTATTTATGTTATTGTGTAGACAGAAATTGATTGTCTGCGGCAACCTCCGAAACGTTTCAAATCGTTTGATTGAGTCAAGCTCAGAATTATGCTTGGAGTGAAGTTAATGTGGCTAAATCTGTGGTGGGTGCATATTGAAATTACGAATTCTCCTGATGTCTCATCTAATCAAATATCATAATTTGAAGGACACTCAATGAAGCCGTCAAACGTGATCTAATTTGATATAATCGACGAGAAAGAAGGTGCGTTCAAAAAGTAATCAGCTCCAGTGATACTAATAATACTTATCATAACATTCACTAATCTCTATATCTGCCAATAATCGAATTATCTAAATACGTGAGAGTCGATTAATTCGATTCACTGTCAGCGGTGTCCATAAACGAAATGATGTGCACGCTTACAGCCGTTTTATTATTCTCATTTCTGAGTGGCATCCGCTCAGTAACGAATGCTGTCGAATTGCATGGTCCAAACATATGTCCCTACGAAGAAGAGTAAGTTGTTCTCATTCGCATTTTTCTCATCTAAATTTCTGTAATCATTATTTTATTATTGTTATTGTCGATGATGGGCACACGCTACCGAAAAAAAAACTAGCTCTGCTAATTCACTAGAAAGGTGTTTTTATTCCGCCAAAAGTGATCCGCCAGTAGATCAGCTGACGAAAAAATGGCGAAACTTACTCGGTGAAAGTTCCGTTAATCGGAGGACATAACGGTAGTTTTCACCGAGACACTACTCAGCAGAAATAGACCACTAATCGCTATTTCCGAATCTTCCTTCGAAATTTGCAGTTGTGCTGCCGACTTGTCTTGGTAAAAACCTTATTACGCCATCAGACAGTTAAAAATTTCCATTCAATCATTAAACAATAAGCACCAGTCAATAATTTTAAAAAAGTCGAACAACAAAGAAATAACAAAGAAACGACAGTAAAATTCAAAGATGAAAAACAATCAGTTGGCAGCAGCCCACACTACACTTTATTCACTTTCAAAAACATCAATAAGCTGAACATTTCGTCTAAGATTCTGAACTTGAGCCCGGAATGAGCATCATACTAAATCTGGGGTAAGCCCCAACCTCAGCGTATGAGAATAGTATTCCTTTATATTGCAACTGCTTCGGATTTAAAGCAATGTATGTGGAACTTCGCTTCACAAAAGTTTGGAAGTTCACTGAATCAAGTTGTTTTTCTCTTTGCCAGCTTATAAATGCACAATGTATTTAATGCAGGTTCTTGGTTCAATATTGTTTTAAGCACTGTTGAGTTTGCGCAACTGAACGAATGAAAGCTGTTTTTATTCTTAGGAAAGAAGAGCTGAAACTTCAAAAGCATATGCAGACGGTTGTACTACATACAACAGAGCCTTGCCTGGATATTACGCAGGGATTCAAATGTAAAGTCAAAAGGCATGGCTTTAATTGTGTTTGGCTTTTGAATTTCATTTATTCATTCTCTTTATTCGGTAATTTTAAATTTCTTCCCAACTCCGTTCTCGTTTAATTTTCCGTTCGTTTTGGTCTTAGACCAATACTTCTTTAATATTATTGGGACCAATTCTTTTCTTTGCTGTTCTTTGATTCTCTTAAAATAGGAAATTAATTCGAATCTCATGCGAGTTGAGTTGGTAGATTTGAAATCTAAAGCTTAAGGAGTTTTTTTATACTTTAAACCTAACCTCGATTCGAATAACAATTATTTTCATAGAAAAGACATAGTGAGAATAATGCTGGTAAGTGAATCACAACAAAATACAAATGGCAAAACTGAGTTATACTGAATTCAAAAATCGAGAAATCTACTTTTCTACACAAGTAACACATTTTCAAGTTTGTCAGAAGTATTCTACAACAGCAAATCATTTTCTGAAATTAATGGGTTTCTCATATTTCAGTAATGGAACGAAAATTTTTTATAAAGGAGTCCCTAATAAAGTGAAGAATATCGTTCTGAGATGTTGTTTAGGATATTATCAAACGGAGGATTCAACATGTGAAAGTATGCGATTTTTAGTAGTGATTCAGCAGTTTCATTTTCTTAATCAATTCAGTAGTTTTTTTAAAATAAACTATTGTTGTCAACTAGCATTAATTAATTGTATTATCAATTGTTGTTATTGTTGTTATTATTGATGTTAATATTACTGACAGTTTGCAAAGAGGGCACATATGGAGTAAATTGTACGCAACAATGTACGAATTGCAGCAGTGATGAAATTTGCGATAATGCAATAGGATGTTGTAAAGCGTCCAGCAATCAGTGTGGATTAGCACGTCAGTATTACTATTGTTTTTCTTTAAGTGTGCCATCATATCGTTAATAGATTTTTTATTTTTTGACTTCCGTAATACCGACGTTAGTTACGTTTTCACCTTCAAAATTTAATGTGGTAATTGATTATTTAGTTGTTTCAAATGGTTTTCAGGGAGTGATTTTGTAGTAGAACAAAAATCGGGTAAAGGTTGGATGTTTGGTATTCTGGCAGTCACTTTGAGCGCAGTTGTGTTGCTTCTCTTTGGCACATTCTTTTATCGCAAGAAATATATGAAAGAGAAGGATCCGGAATTGCCTACATTAACGTATGCTCTTGTCTATGTTACTATAGATTGATTGTTGTTGAAACATTATCAAACGTTCATCGTAAATGAATTTTAACTGCAATTAACTAGGCTATCTTTAAGGTATCATCCGCATCTTAAAGAATATATTCCACCGTCTGAAATTGAATCGCGTCAGTTCAACAATCCATTGTATCGTCAATCAACCACGGAACCACCACCAAAGCTAAGCGATGAAGAGGAAGTGATCGCACGCAATAAGCTTTGCCAGCCTCCACCGTCTGCTTCAACAAGTGAATTTTTGAGAGTATTTAAATTCTAGTTGGCAAGAGTATATGAGTAACTTGTTGGTTGTTACAGATGAATATGCAACGCTTGATGAGGTATCGTCGTCAGTAGCCGGTCCATCGAGTAGGACACGTTTATTGAAGAATGAAAGTTTGTTGCATGCTCATAACCCATTCCGCTTAACACTATGTCATTAGAAGTGCATTATTCTAACACTTTTTTGTATTTGATGACTGCTAGAAAAAAATGTGCTAATCTTGATTATTCTGCACAACTTAGAATTTATATTCGTGGATTGTGCTAACACTAAGTGCTCAAAAAATATATATAAATTTGACAACCACACCAAGGATCCAATTTCTATTGCATCAAGGATCCGGAATTATGAGGAGAGGTAGGAGCTTCCAGCTTCTTTTAAAAAACCGTTTTAAAACATTGAAGTAGCGTTCATAATCATTTAATCTAATGAGCAAAATAACGTTATGGAATATTTGAAAAATAAACAAAAGAAAATTATTAAGGAGTTATTGAAAGGAGATAACTCAGACCCAGCACTTATGTAGTGATCGCATGTCTGTGTGTAATGTCATGCTGAGTGACATTCATATTTTCCAATGAAGTATTCTTCTGAAAGAAAACTATGTCTGCTTCATCCGTGCTGTCATTTCGATGCATTCCCTGTCATCTCGGGCATGCATTCCCTCAATATATTCTCCAAAAGTGCCCACATTCGAAAAGAACCATTTTACATACCTGATTTATCAGAATTGGTGAAAACTCAGTGGAATTCCTAACTTGGTCGTATGAGCATAATTTCGTTCACATTTATCTTCTCTCTAGCGAAACGTACGTAAATCCTTCTCCTCCTATGGGGCTGTGGCTCGTACACCCGTGATCCAGTATAAAATCTAAAGAGTTCTGGTAATCTGCGAACACAAAATAAAATAAGCGTGCACAAAAATGAAATCGAAGTTGAATATGTAGTATTTATTTTGATTCGGTTGAGCATTCTGCCAATAAAAATATTCAGCACTGCGTACACCCATTCGTGATACTGTCGCATTGCGTGCACCCGTTTGTATAGCAGACAACAATCCATCCATTGATTGTAAGATGTACATCAGAGGGAAATCAAAAGATCGATTCACTGATCAAAAAGTTTGCTGTCAAATGTTATCAAATGATTGACTCCCAAGTATCCTGAAAACATTGAGCGTAGATATTTAAAGAAATCAGTCAACTAATTTACTGCTTCAGTTCTCGTGGCATGCTCATATTCGCTTCAAGCACTGATATAATAGCACCTGTTTCGTCATGACCAGTGTCGCACTGCATTTACAGTTGGTGGTGGTTTCCTGTTGTTAAAAGAAAGCCGCATTATTGAAACTTACTTCACTATTCGGGTGCAATTTATATAAGAAACTGTTTTTGTAATGAATAAATGTGGTCGCAGGATGCATACTCTCTACACCTTTTCGTCTTACCTGTGTCTGTTGTATCAAAAATGCACTTTATTTTTTCCTATTTCGTTTCAATCCCTCCCCACATAACATTTTTTCTACTCTAATTATTAATGCTATTATTTAATTGCAGCGGAATATGAAATACCTCATCGAAATGATAAAGATGCGGCGAAATAACGAAAAGAAGTACCGTCAATGAACTGAGTTTGAACGCTTCTCATATATGATCCAATAATATGTTCGTATTCGTATTGTTGTTAATCTTTTATTCCCATCTTACAACTTTCAGTATTCAATGTCTAGTAACAGTGTATTTCCCATTAAGGTTAACTGCAAATAAGACCAAGAGCACTTCATCAGAAAATTTGTAATATCAGCCTCGACACCAAATTGTATTAGCACTTAGGAATGCTAAATAACTCAGCAAAGTTCTCAGTATACATGAATATCCGAATCACAGCTACCGTTTTCTCTTCATGCACCTATTGAGTTCCTCAAATATGCATACAGCTTGCTAGTAATATTTGAGAACAAGTAAAAAACCATGCCCAACAAATAACCCTTCATGCATATTTTGCAGTAAAAATTGATGTAATGTTTGTTATTCGAGGAAACACGGTGTCTCAGCTATTCGTTACTCTCCAATTACGATTTCAGAAAATATTTTTCAAGAAAAGCCGTTACTGTCTAATAATATTTACGATTTCAGAAAACAAAAACATCATTGTCTAATCTCAACCTAACTATGAGTCTAAAAGCATTATGAATTATATCACCTATATGACTTACATTCCATTCGTTTCTCTCTTTATCTTATATCACCACATTTCAAAATCATTCTAAGTAGAATCATTTTTCAAAATCACTTAATGCATTATATTCGGTTTTGCTCAGGTGTGTTCATCTGTTGCATTGTTTAATTGTTCTTCAGAGCATTTAAGTTGAGTTCGTTGATTACGGATTGTTTATGTTTGAGTTAAAGTGCCGATAACAGGTGTGGATTGCATAGTTGAGTACTATCTTTAAACACTTGTGATTAATACCAAACGATCTTTACGATGGTTTTTTTTGTCTTTGTAAATTGACAACTCATGAATTGTTTCTCTAACAATTTTTTTGCATATTTACTGATTATATGGATTGTGGACCCCAGGTCATGATGTATGTCTAATCCAATAGAAAATCGTTAAATACGGGATTCTTGTTGGATGAAAAGAATTATTCAAATATGTATATCTGTTTACAGTTATTTGTTGAGTTTGCATTTATGATTGAAGTTCCTATTATAAAATAAGTAAATTAAAGTATCATATTTTTCATCAGTGATCGCGATGCAATTCCTAATGGAATATCCACAAGTCATGTATAATTCACATTATTATATTGCTTGTAGTTCGTTGAGTGTTTATATTCGTGTTTATTTGAAATGATAATCAGCTGATTGATCCATTATATTTATTATTGTTGAATAACACTCATTTGATGTTCGATTGATAAAAACTGATTACAGTTGTGTATTCTTCAACTGATTATGTAAATGTTTTCGCTAACATAATCATAAATTTACTTGTTTCAAGAGAGACTTGAATGGATACGTTACAATTATAGCACATGCTGAATGTGGATGTGTTCTTCTTTTGAACTCAGATATTCTTTGTATTCCACTGTGGCCGTTTGAGACTTTACGTGAATACTTATGGGTACAGACTAGCGTTGCCGATCAGTTCTAAAATGCTTCACATTCTCTTTGCAGAAGCATATGTTATCAAAACATTCTGTAATGAGTGCAAGATAAGCAGCTCCAAACTGTAGTCATTATTATGATGAGGAAAAGCGTAAGTTGTGCAGATGCTCAGAGATACGGTTGTCCCATTTGCTCCACGCCATGCTTTGTGTTAGACTGCGATAGTGGCTCCTTGATTGAAACTGTTGCGCATACAATGTACAAAACTGATCCTGACTCGTGTGAAAGTAGAATTTGAAAATTATTGGAACATTCACTATCGTCATTCGTTCTTGAGCACACTTCTAGAAATATTTTTACCAACCGCTGCTTCAAAGACTTTCCGTTGTACTAATTTGTAGCCATTGAGTGAGCGTTTTTAGCAATTCATCTCAGTGACTGTTAACCCATTTCACCCGTGACTTGTGCACGCGTTTACTACACAAAATTCTATTCGTTGGATGCAACTCAATTTTTGAATACATTCCGTTTAATCGGCGAATCTGTTTAAGTGTGTCACCGGACTATGAACATTTGGCCCACTGAAATGTTCAATTATGTAAATGTTTGGTAGGCCGAATGTTCCAATATCTGTTGTTTTGCAGCAGCGGTTTTCATTGTCGTCCGTCGTTACGGTTTGTGGACGAGTGCGCATTGCTCGCTTCATAGAATAGCGCTAAATACGTAAACCTCAATTATATGCTTAAAATTTCAGAGTTGATCAACTGTTCTCACAATGGTCTGTGTTCCGTGTTTAATTTTACCCATTCTCTTGGCAATATATTTGAAATTCATTCAGCCATACATACTTCCACTGATACCTCAAAGATGGCGTACCAAATTTGACACGTTTTTTTATCCGACATGTCCCATTCAACCGTCTCCAGCTGCTCAAGAACAGCCCAAAACTGCCGAATCAGATGGCGTGACCAGTGATGAGCAGACGTGCTGCAACGAAGATCAAAAGAAACTCAGTTAGAAGTGATGCGATCAAATATTTTATCTTATCTCTTTTCTGTTTGATTTCATTCTATTTTCCGATATCCGGTTATTTGGCATGTTGTGCAGAAAGATTTTTCAAGGCAATCCAAAAACTCAATTTTTTCTCAGTAGTATGTGTTTGCTTTCTAAAAATATGGAACTTGTGAATTTATTTTTGTCTCTCAGCCTTTAATAAGGAACAAAAATAAATCCACAAGTTCCATATCAATTTATAAGAACCCTATCCGAACTCGCTGGCAAGGTAAATTCGGTTTCAAATGATGCCAACAGTAAGCTTAGGACTAAAAAGGCAGTTTGAATGAGCGATGATGGCACCCATTCGAAAAAATTAACAAGAATGCAACATTTGATGCATCATGTAAAGTTGTACATACACAGGAAATTTGACATTAGGAGGCANATACATCGAAGGTGGCGCTCATTCTCGAATATTATTTGCATTCATAGTGGGTCTTTGATAAGGTATCAGTGATTGTGATCATAAGGATTGAAAAGAACCTATGTTTACTTGCGAAAATTTGACCTACAAGATTGTGCTGTTGTGGTGCTAAAAAATTTCCTTCTCGGAAGTGGTGTTTTCCCGTTCATCTTTCTTCGAAAAAGAGTTTCCTCATTGAGTTTTTGGTGAAAGTTTTTCTTAATATAAAAAGTGAAAGTAATATAAAAAAACCTCTACTTCCCGTAATTGACTGAAATTGATTTCAGAATGCTATGGAACTATTTTCATCTCTGCTCCAATAATCTCAATGTTTATATACGTTTCACCGCATTTCCTCACACCCGATGTTTCATCGATGTCTTCCCTTTCCAATTCTAATGACCAACTGAACTGATATTTAGTCATTCTTATTCGTAACAGTCACATGAACTTGCTTTACTCATTTGTTTAATGTGACTGTTTTGTAAATGTTTAAAAGACGATGCAGTTGCTCTTCATTGGTTCGAATTTCTTATTATTTCATTTATGATATTCATTGTTAGTCTGTGATGTTGCATTTTTATTCTGCTT